AAATAAAAAATGTTAAGAGTAACACAGATTCACCCAGAAAACAGAGAAATCAGAAAAAGAGAATCAGCATCTGAATATGTCTTTCCTTACAATCGCCACTGAGAAGCGGGGGTGCAAGGCAAGACAGACAGAATACATAGCGGGGACGGATTTGCCATAGGATAAAAGTCTTTAAATGGCCCAGATCAAGAGATAAAGGCTCCAGATTGGTTTCTTCAGCTTTAGGCACAAATAAGGGTTAAATGATTCCCTGAGGCAAACCTTAAAGGTGTGTGGGCCACCGCTTTCCCAACCCGGGCAGTTCCCTGGACTCCCAGCAGGGTCCGCTTGGGCCCTCCTAGTATGTTTCCCCCGCACGGAACTGAAGCAACTAACCGATTTAACAGCCGCTTCCTGCTCGTCCACTGCCAGAGCCCACGAGTCAGTGGCCATGGTCCCGGGGAAGGGAGGCTGACTCGCGAAAAAAGGACCACACGCGCGGCAACAGCTGCCGTGAGCCCGCCGCAGGCGCGAGAACAACACTCACGCAGGCCGGAAGCGACGGTGCGCAAAGATGACGTCATTTCCCGCCCCGCGCCATAAGACGTCACTATTCCGTGCCGTGCCGCAACGGGCCTGTCCTCCAGTCTCGCCCCAACCCCTCCTTCGCAAACACTCTTTTCCGCCGACTTCCTGGGGAAGAGCCTCATCGTGCCTTAAAATTCCTAAGCTCTATTGAGTGAAATTCCTAGCCCATACTTCTTTGTTTCACGTCACACTGAGGTAATCTAAATTTTATTTTTAAGTCTGCCACGTCTCATGATGAATCTGTAAGTCTGTGAACTGTAAAGCTTTACAGAAAGGAAAATCTTAGGGCGTTACTATATAATACCAGTTTATACTGTTACGAGCGAGATAACGTGTAAGACGGGGGTGGGGGACAAACAGAAAAACAAAAAACCCTAGCATTTTCTTTTTCTTCTGGGTCCTTCCAATTTTTGTCCGTATGCGTCGTAGCACAGGTGTTTTACATAGTGTTAAAGTACATATACAATTTTAAATTTGACTTTCTATACGGCTAAGTATTTTTTAATGTCATAATTATCAATGTAATGGCTTTATAATAGTCCATCAAGCTCATATCACATAAATCACCTAAGTACCCGTCCTCCTCCCCCGCTTAGGAATATAGGTTGTTTCCCATGTTTTATGGATAATTGATGAGACTTAAGTAAGCCTCTCCATACCATCAAAAATCATCTTGTTTCTAGTTTACTTTGTGTCTCTCCCTACTAAAATATTAACTCTTCAACAGCAAAGAGCTTAACCTTAGTCACAGCTGATTGATGAACCTAGAAAATTGCGTGGCATATGGTAGATTTTCAATAAATACTTTTCAATGTATGGCTGAATTGACTAATATAAATTTTAGTTCAAAACGTATTACTCTAGGACACATTCCTAATCATTCCAACATTTATGTCAAAGTGTGTGAATGAACTGAACACTTTATAAGGATAGATGGTCAGTAAGCATAAGAAAAGGAACTCGAAATTATTTGTTATTAAGGAAATGCAAATCAAAGTCACAGTGAGGTATCACTGCATCCTGGCAAGATCCACCTGCGTTGGTAAGGATGTGGAATGTTAAGGAAAAAAATCTTGAATGACATTTGTTAAAGATGATAAGGCAAACTTCATTCAGGACCATTACCATAGTTACAGGGATCACTGCAATGGGGTTTTGTACTGGGGAGAAATATTGGGTTCAATTCCAAATACAGCATGGGAAAGCGGGAATTTATAGCCAAGGAGCAGAAAGGTGGGTGGAAACTTAAGAGGAAATATCAGGGGCAAGGAGAGTTTTGGTTAAACCAATTTAACAGGATTATTGCTAAAGACAGGCCAGGGTGATCAGACATCACCTGGGTGGTGGTAGAGGATGAAGAACTTGATATGGAGGGTGGTCCAGTTCTTACTAAAACTAGATTTTACAGGAAAGTGCACAGATGGGCCAAGAAGTTTCAGGAGCCTGACTAAACTAAACTGGTTAAGGAATGAACCTTGGTCAGGAGCTACTGGAACTCTCCGTAGTAGAGCCGCTGCTTAGCATGCAAGAAGTCCTGGGTTCAATCCCTATAATACTGCCACAAAAAAAGAAAAAGAAAACAAACAGCCCACCCCAAGAAAACTGGAGCAGGGGACCAGCTAATGGGGTAGACAGGGTGGGAGAGGTTGAAAATGAATCAATGGAGCAAGTCCTTACAAAGCTGCAGCAGAGGGCCTTTGGTGCACTGGTAGAGAAATTTAGAAAATAGGGATATCTCTCCCATTGTAATAGGAGGGCAGGAAGGATAATGTGCTTGGAGGAAGGTCTGGGACAGAAGGTTGAGGGAGTTTCCTTTTGTTGGCCATTACTGGGAATAGGGAGATTATTTGTTGACAGTTGAGGGGACAATGGGGTTGGATTTTCAAGGTGAGTGAAAGTCTTGAAATGGTAACTGGACAGAGTAGGGTAATTAACCAGAAAGGACTAATCTATGAGGCTAGAGACACTGCAACTTTTTCTGAAGTTGTTCCTTCTGCTGATGTTAAATATGAAATCAGGTGAATTGGACAATATTTAATTTGTCCCTCTAGCATAATTCTACTTGTTTTAGAAATTAACAAAGCAAAGCCAAAACACTGGGACCTGTTTTGTTATTAAACCTGGACTCAAAATGGCATTGGTTTTCAGGACAATTTCTGTGCAAATTTAGAAGCTGCTAGTGACTTGAGACAAACAAAGACCAGAGAACAATATGCCTAACACACTCGGCCACACAACCTGATCAGGGGCTAACTCAGATCTTTTCAAGTCTAAGTGTAGGGACGTTTGCTCATAGGGATAAGCTAACCTAAAACTATTTGGCATTTCTCCAATTGCAGAATTCCGAGGATGCTGGAAGCATATGGATGAGGATGTAACAGCTGTAAAGACTCACAAAATGTGTACTAGTACTTCCAGAAGAGTTCCATCTAAACAGCCCCCTCCCCTACCCCACTTCCTCTTGGAGAAGCTGGCTGTAGCCCTGGGCTGTAGGATGGCATAAAAGAAAGATCTGCCACCCAAGCACCTCTGCCTATGACATATTGATAAAGCAGAGGCTGTGTCTCATCTGAGCACCTGATATCTTAGACAGCCACCATTCTCAGGCTTCATCTAGTATTTTCCTCCACCTACCCCACTCCCCATTTTACAATTAGTATTACTATGGAGAAACCTCTTGCTCTGCTGATACGAATGCCAGAACTGTTTCTAAGCCAAGGCAGAAGCATCCAATGGGCTGGAGAAAGAGAGGGCATGAGGTTAAGAGTGTGACGAACGTCCTCCAAGCAGATTCCCATCTGCCTGTAACTTCCCACTAGGTGTTTGAAGCTGTTCTGGGAGAGCCCTGTTCCAGATTTAGGATTTGGAGAGCAGGGTACTGGAGCCTCCTAGCATCAGCCCTTCAGGTTCCCTCACCTCTACTGTCATTTTTGGAAGATCCTGCAATCTGAGTCAATCAACAGAATAGGGAAATTAATTCTCAGCCAGAAAAGCAAAGTCAGGTAAAACTGCAGGCAGTTCCTAAGAACCTGTTATCTATGTCCAAGACCAAGAGAAAACTGAAGAGGGGCCTTGAAATCTGTAAGGGCTTGGGGGTGTTGGTGAAGAGAGGCTAGTCTCTTCTTGCAAAGGGAATGGGCCTGACTTCATGAGTCATTCCCTCATGACTCAACCCTGATGTCATTTGTTCTTTCCAAACCTTCCCTTTGGGTTTCTCCCCAGAATTATTTTTAGATAGTTTAAGTTTTAAGAGCCACACAATCTTCTTGGAATAACAGCATTAAGTGGGTATAAAAGCCTACCATTCCTCTTCTGTAATATCCCTCTGGTCTACTTCTGTGCTCTCAATGCAACCAATGTTGTCCTGGCACTTGCTCTGTGATGGGACTGATGTAATAATCTTCTAACTGTGTTCTCAGACGCCAGCCTTTTCCAGTTCCAATATATCCTGAGTATCTCTGGTAGACCTATTCCCCCACCCTCAAAACTACATCATCACTTCCTATGACTTAAGAATCTATGACAATTTACTACTGAATCCAAATACTGTTGAAATAATCAAATCTTCATTTTCTACCTAACAAGACTTCTCTACTCACATGGCAAGGCTGCTCCCCTCACTGCCCTTCCAGTACACTGCATTTATCCTGGTGAAGGTGCCTTGGTCTTAATAGGGCCTCATCTGCCTAGGGCACACTTCTTATCACTTGGAATCCCACTATTCTCTCATCAGCAAATACCACTCCTTCATGAGGTCTTCTCTAACCTCAGAAATCCTTACCTTCTGAATACCAAAGACATCTGGAATGAAACAGCCTTCGTGTTAAATAATAAATGAAATGGGAACAACAAAGGGAGAAGACCTCTTTCCAAGCTCTATTTTGTTCATTTCCTAGGACTAGAAAATAGGTTGTGAGAACTCTGTGTTGCTGGCATCTACCTTCTTTCTGACTAGTCAGCCAGCATCCTCTGGTTTACCAACAGGGAAAAAAGGAACATGAGGAGCCCTCTGGCAACTGAGTAGGGCCCTTGGCCTATGGAGACATCCCAACTGTTCATGCTGGAGCAATGTCAACTCTGAAATGGAACAGCAATATCAGGTGATGACTAGTCTATGGAATAATACGTAAATCTTCACTCAAGTACTTATGATCACCAATACTAGCAACCAAAAACATGCTACTGTTTTCTTCTTGTACTCATGAATATCTCAGTAACGTGAACATTACAATTACGTTCCATTAACCTCAATAAAGAATACATTAACTGATTAGTTTTTATGCATACAGTCAATGAACATTCAACAAAACCAGTGAAATCCATTGTTTATGGATACTGAACATATCCAGAATTTTCCATTGGACCCAAATCTCCTTTTCTCAAGTGAGTTTCTCTGTTCTATGGACAGTTCCATACAGAGGAACTTACTGAAAACAGTAAAAGAAACTGACGACTGAAGCTCTGCAAGGGCTCAGTACATGTCACATCACTGATGTCTCAATACGGCACAAGGTTGCAGAGGAAGCTGTGGACCAGAGCACCCTAGGAGCCAAGCGCTGGCAGGAATGAAGTTGGACTGTGCAGGAATATAGACTGCAGGGACATTGGGGTGACATTCCAGAGCCATCCATACAGTGAGTCTTACCTGTTTAAAAGGCATATACTCCTTTGGGAGTTTCTCCCCAGGAAAATGCATTTAAACTCAAAATATTGTATATACTTCATAAACTCCATGAAACCCATCCAGTGAATTCTTAGGGGTCCAAGCACCCAGGTTAGGAAGTGCTGATCCAAATTTCTACCAGATACCATTTACTCCCACTGCCGAAGAGTCTGAAGCACATCCCTTCCCATTTTCCTGCTTGGTTACAGGGCTACTTAGTGGGTAGGTTACTCATGTTGTGAGAAGCTGGGGGATATACTCAGCCGGCAGCCTCGAGAGGAGTCTATATTGTTTTAATTATTGCCTTTGTTATAAGTCATTTCAGGGTTCATCCACAGAATTTGGGGGGAGGGGGAAGTATAAAATTTCTTCTTTTCTTACAAGACTCCCAAGGCAGATCAGAGCTGGCCAGAAGTACAAACAAGATTCAACACAGTCAAGTGCCCATAGGGAATGTGGCAGGATTGGGAGTCTGTTGTTCTCTGCAGGACCTGTAATGTCAGATGAAGGACACCACCTGGAGGCTGACATTGGTCCTCTCCCTTCCCAGGAGACAAATCTGGCCTTAAAATACAAAAATGCCTACAAGGAGGTCTAGAATTGGAATAGTTCTCATCACAAAAATCCCTCTTCCAGATCTGGTCCTAAATAAAGTGGCCTTGCTGTGTCAAAGTCACAGAGCTGAAGAGGACTCCTTTTGGCTGGGGTTTCATACTGCTCTTGCAGCTGTTTTCGTCTCATCTTTGCTCTGTCACTCTGTGGGTACCAACAGCCTTGGCCAGGTGTCAGAAAGTGTCCACTACTATTATTTGCTCTGACTGTTCTGCACAAGGATGTCAAATAAAGATGGGGCAAAGGCCTTGGCAGTTACTCTTGCCTTGGACAGATGAATGGCTGCAGCCCACCTTGTCCCTTAGTCGTACCTGTTTGTATTCCAAACACTGTGAACGCAGATGTTCAGATTCCCTTTAGAATCAAGATGCCAAATTTCTGAAGTTATTCCTCAGTTCTGACAAAAAACTTGACTTCTGGAATCGAGACAAAGCAAGGATTTGTGACTATGTCTGATGACTTCTGGAGGTGACTTAAGACTGGCCATTAGCAACTTGACACCACAATTTTCACTGAGGATCCAAACCTCAGATCACCTTTTATATGCTTGGGGCTACCAAAGGGTCAAGGTGATGTTAGGGAAGTAAAAAAAAATGCTGCAAGTGCCCACAAAACCAGGTTTTGTGGCAAGCTAGGACCACCACTCATTCTCCACCATGACTTCTCCACAGGACTTGCTCAAGCACAAGCAAGGGACCCACCAGTAATCAGATGTGCTCTCTACACAGACCATACCTGCTAAGAACAGGTCATGGTCTGCAACACAGACATGCATTCACCACAGCTCCCAGGCTGGCATTTTGGTCCATGCTTAGCAAATCCCTTCCTGCTGTGGGCCTCAGGACAGAGGGGGCTGACAACGCTCAGAGGAGCTGTCCCAACTCAAATTCAAAGCAGCAGCTCACAGGTCTCCTCCAAACATGATGGCAGACTTACACACCTGTCCTACTTGGGGTCTCTCCCTGTGTCCCCTCTTCACCTCTATTCTGTCAGTTCCACAAGGGCAAGAAGCTGGCCTCAACATGCCCATGCAGAGAACCAGGCAGGGGCTGCCTCAGAGGATCCTGAGCAAGTAATTAGCCACAACATCAAGACTGATGTAATGATGGGGAAAACGCTGGCCAAGAAAGACGACGGAATTTCCAAAAGGTAAATTTCTGTGTATTCACGCCTAATCTTCAAAGTTGTGTAAACAGTTTTTCTACCTTTCCCCATCATCTGCACAATTTTTGTCAAGTCCAAACGTAATTTAAAATGAGGTAGGTAGTTTCTCTCTACTCGTGCCTTCATCTCTGTGGTGACTGTCAAAGGCTAAG